ATCTATACCGGATGCCTCCTGAACGCCTTCCTCGGGAGGTGTTTCAGGCACGTCCCACTGGGAGGAGGCCCAGGGGACGGCCCAGGACACGCTGGAGGGACTATTTCTCTCAGCTGGCCTGGGAACGCCTTGGGCTCCCCCCGGAGGAGCTGGAGGAGGTGTCAGGGGAGAGGGACGTCTGGGTGTCTCTGCTGAGTCTGCTGCCCCCGCGACCCGGTTCCGGATAAGCGGAAGACGACGAGTACGACGAGAAAGAGTACATTTACTATGTACGTTTTAAATGCATTAACACAATGTTACTTAATAAAAAAAACAAGAGAATGTTTATTATTTCTCCAACATTGAAAATATAGCTTTAGGGTTTTGCTTGTTGTCAAATCTGCCTGAGAGAAAAAAAAAAAACATACTCTTTGTATCAGTGAGGTGAGATTTCACCAAAGAACAAATAAAGTAGAAATCACAGGCTGATAAAATCAGAAGCAAACCAGAACCAAGAATCACACCAAGGTTCTGTCTAACATCATGGACGGCAGCAAGTCCCCCAGGTAAACTGTGGATACAAATTCCTTATGTGATAGTCCGCTGTCAGCCCAGTGTGGTCTACAACTACTGCATCAACAGCTGGGTCTCAGTTCAATCAAATCAAAGCAAAGCAAATTTATTTATAAAGCACGTTTAAAAACAACAGGTTTTTAAGTGTTGAACAATAGAAGGCATAAGCACAGAAAACAATAACTAAAAACCAAGCTTAGAAAAATAAGAATAGAAGACAGAACAATAAAATACTAAGACAACTCACACTGGTTTAAAAGTCAGAGAAAATAGTTGTGTTTTTTATAACAGATTTAAAAACAGGAAGTGAAGATGTCTGTCTTTAGATGTCTGTCTTTAGAGGGGAGACTATTCTATAGTTTATTAGCCACAACTGAAAAAGCTCAATCTCTTCTAAGCTTCAAACTGGTTTTCTGGACAACCCAAAGGAGCTGATCAGATGTTCTAAGTGCCCGAGGAGGAATGTAAGGTTGAAATAAGTCAGATAGATTTATGGGTGCCAGGCCATTTAGGCATTTGTCGGTCAACAGGATAATTTTAAAGTCTATTCTGTGACACACAGGGAGCCAGTCAAGAGAGGATAAAATAGGTAAATGTGTTTGAACCTACGAGTTCCAGTTAAGAGCCGAGCCTCAGAATTCTTGACAAGCTGGAGACGGGAAAGGGAGACCTGACTGGCCCCAACATAAAGTGCATTACAGTAATCAAGTTGGCTTGTAAAGGAAGGTATGAATTATTTTTTCAAGGTCAGGTCTGGTTAACACTGACTTAAGCTTAGCTACCTGCTTTAACTAGAAGAACCGTTTATTCAAAACTGAATTAATCTGCATATTAAACTTAAAATCCAAGTCTAAAATCATCCCCAGATTCATTAGAGACTGCTTAAGATATGACTCAAGAGAGCCAAGGTTAACAGGAAGAATACAATAACTTCAGTCCTATCAACATTAAAACACAAAAACATTAAGCCATCCAGGCCTTAATGTCATCAAAAAACCTTAACAGCAGGTGGATGGAGAAAGAACTGTTAATAGGTTTTTTTTATTTAATTGAATTACTATTGCATGTTTTAAAACATCAGGTAGTAGACCTTTAGAACATCTGCTATTTATAATAGGAAGAACAGAGGTTACAAGACCTATCAGTTAGCTGCAAATAGAACAGAGCAGAGTTGTTATGATCATTGCAATCCACACAACTATGCCATGCAACACAATGTTATGGTTCGAGACAAACATGGGTTAAACAAACAAATCACTTCCAAGAAATACCATGATCAAAATAGCTGTTGAATAAGAATTTTGAAGAATTAAATGGGTGCCATTTGCTTGTAGTAAGTCTCCAAAATTAAATTCTTTTTTATATATTTCTTTAAACAGAATATAGTAATATGCATATCCAGCTATTCAAAACTGACATCATAAATCTCAAGTGATCTTATTTCATTTTGTATAAGGTTTGTAAGCCAAAGATAGTTGTATTTTTTTCAGCCCTGTTGTCCAAAACTCATGCGACATTAAAAAGGCATGTTTAAAACAATATCAACTAACTCCATTGTTTACCTCTAAGAAAGTCTTTATTTTGATGGAATGGTTCATTATTAACTGTTGGCTGTCTCTCAATTAACCTCTGGGAAGTTCTTTCAAAACTCTTTGAAAAACCATCTCAGGTGACCACCTCATGAAGCTCATGGCATAAGAGCAAAGCAGTAATCAAAGCAAAGGGTGGCTATTTTGATGACTCTAAACTATAAAAAAAAGAGTTATTTCATGCTTTTTGTTTACTACATACATCCATGTGTGTTCAATCACAGTTTTGATGCCTTTGGTAAGAATCTACAATGTAAATAGTCGCAAAAATAAAAGAGACCCATTAAGTGAGAAAGTGTATCTAAAACTAATGACCAGTAGTGTACTTTACCACACACCATTTGCCAACAACTTCAGGACTTTGCCACAGAATTTCTGTGGCTGCTCTCTGTTGATGACTGAATGTGAAATGCTTTACATTAAAGCATTCACATTTCAGAATTTGTTTTGTTATGCATAAGCAGCTGACAGCCCTGTATGTCAGTTCTCCTTGGGCAAGGGTCACTACCTGATGTATCCTCACAGTGATTGGAATTGATGGCACATCTCTGGGCATCTCCCGAACTGCTTTCTCTACTGTTTCTTCATTGACAAAAACAACTTCATTGCTGTTTCTGTCTTTTGCAACAAAGCAAACAGTTCCGAAGCCTCAGGAATATCTTTACCTTTGCTGACTGTCAGTCTTCCTCTTGAGGGCTCGTCCCACACTATCCGGTGCATCCTTTCCGTGGCTCGCTTCAAAGAAGTTCCATGTCCCAGTAGTGAATCCTCGTTTGAACAGCTGAGTAGAAAACATGAAAACATTCCCTCGCTGTCTATACTGAGATGATGGGCCACCACAGCAAAAATGGATCACGGAGACCTCTGGATGTGCCCTCTGCACGTAATCGAGCACTGGTGACCAGTACTGCCAGGTTGTTGGTGGACCCTTAAGTCTTATTGCCTGATGGTGTGATGCTCAGAAGTTGGCCGCCTGTGTTTCTGTACAATACTTGCAAAGATTTCAGAGAAGTCAGCATGAATTAAGCATTCATGTGCTTTCAAGCCTTCTCTGTGCCCTGTAGTAGGTAAACTGATTCTTGATGTAGTAGGTGTGTCTCTGAACCTTTGCAGCTGCATGTTTAGCTGTTCCAGAAGTTCTTCTTGTGTGGCCTGGATTTCTTTTCTAATTGTGATTTTGGATGTTTTGCCACTACTGCCCACTCTTTCCCTCCTCTCTCGGTCAGCATCACGTCGACCACGATAGCGCTGCTGCTTTTCTGCAGCACTAAATGGTGGCTTGGCTCCCTGTCTGTATTTATTCTTATCATTAAACTAAAAATTAATCTCAACAAATTAAGTAATTTCCACACTACAACTTAAAAATCATGCTAATAGTGTAATATGAACTAATATTTGCATTTATGAATCATTCAAAAATTGAAACCTACTGACTACCGTTATATCATATATCATAGTTATATCATAGTTAAGATATGATCAAATATACAGAGCAATAACTCATAGAACTTACTTTTGGTCTTCTCGTGACTTTTAGAAAATCCAACTGATTCTACTTCCTGTTGTGCATGTGACTTCTGAAATGTCCCAAATTTTTCAGATGGGGTTATGGGTTATGGTAACAGGACTGAGTGAAAACCCAGGGACAGAACTAAAATCTGTATTTTGAGAAAAATGTAAAATATAAAATAAGATTTATGTAGCCCACCTATACCCATTTAAAGTAGGTGAGGGCCCCTGAGTTCATTAAAACCCTAAACTCAGCTCATAAATAATTTATACACTTTAGGTGTTTAGACCTATCTTCAGTCTCACTTCCCTCAGGGTAATAATACACTAGTGTTTTAATATTTGATACACCCGATACCATGACTCTGTGTATATTAAATAACAGATGGCAGATACACTGAAATGCAAAATACAATTTTCTAACCAAACCTTACTTATGCTTATGTCTTATGTAATATATTAGCTTAGAAATTACCAAGCAACACACAGGATCAAAGTTTAAAACTTTAAAACTGAAACTATATTAAACTCAAACAATTCATACAATCCACAGTAATGCAAAAACATTTCAATTTACAATGAAGTTTCTCAGTTACTGATCACCCAAACAATTTAAATCAAATTATGTGGGCCCACACTCTAAACATACCCCTAAGCCGGCATTTAGTTTACTAAAAGTTGGTCCAAATAAAATAAAACCAAGGTGCAAGCCTGATGTGATGCTGATGAGTGGGAAAAGTGATACCTGAGCCTGAACCATCCGATTTAGGCTCACCTCTTTGCATTAAGCTTAACTTCAGACATTTCCAAGCCAGAAAAATTTGTTAAGTCTGTTAGTTAGCTGGGTTAGCTCCACAGTACTCAATGTCCATCCACTTTGCTAATGCATGCATTAGTGAACATTTGAAACATGTACTCACGACTACTGTACTGCGAATTCCGAGTTGAAATAACGACAGTTGTTGCAAACACAGAGGTAGAGTTGATATCTGTACAAAGACTGTCATAGTACATTTTAAGCGTCTTATGACATACTGTCAGTCATTTTGTACCGCTTCTTCCATAGTGTGTTGCAGGGAAAGAGCTGCCTATCTCCAACAGGTGGGAGTTGAAACACTGGCGACCTGTCCAGGGTGTACCCCTGGATAACAGTCCATCACCAGTCCATCGCCACACAGGAACCCACCCATGCACGGGGAGAACATGCAAACTCCATGCAGAAAGAAGAGTCGAACCGGGAGTGTAGAGAAACTAATTAACCTAACAGTCATGTTTTTGGACTGTGGGAGGAAGCCAGAGTACCCAGAGAGAACCCATGCACAGGGAGAACATGCAAACACCATGCAGAAAGACCCAAACTGGTAGTCGAACTCAGGACCTTTTTCCTGCAAGGCAACAGTGCTACCAACTGCACCACCATGGAGGCCAGTTCATATAAGGTACATCTCCAAAAATTTTTATATTGTGAAAAAGTTCTATATTTATTTTCACAAATTTTAGAGATTAAAACTCATACATTTTATAGATTCATTACACATCGAGTGAAAAATTACAAGTCTTTATTTCTTGTCATTTTAATGATTATGGCTTACAGATAGTGAAAACCCAAAATTAAGTGTCTGAGAAAATTTGAATATCGTTAAATGGTTAACTTAACTCATTACACAATATCACCATTTTTGACTGGGTTACATTTATCTTGAAAGAAATGTAAAGCATGCATATCCCATCTATGTAAAGCATAGATGGGATATGCAATTACACAAAAAATGGCAAAATAATAAAAAATTCTTAGGATTTTATTTATTATGTTTCATTCATGACGACAGAAGACAAATGCTGTTTTTTCAGTGGTCAAGGTAGTTTTTAATTAATCTTTCCTCTCATACATCTTAAATTTGCAATTAGATCACATGCAGGACACTTTGCTTAGTGAGAAATGTATTTTACAACTAGTCTTCCTGTGCATTTATAGATATAATTTCCAAAGGACAAAAATGGCACCCACACAGTGAAATGATCCAAATGTGCAAAAGAAAGCTAAATAAATTCTATGCAAAAACTGAATTTAATGTAAATACAGTACATTTCAGTATACTGTTTTGCTGATATGTTAGGGATTAGATTGTTTCCACAAACATTATAATGTTAAGTTATCAGTGGTTCAAAGGTTACAACCAGGTTGTTGCTTTAACTTGTAAGATAATGATCAAACTTCTAAAATCTGTGCCTATCTGGAAATTTAATGGCTTGAAGACTATGCTCCCTCATTACTCTGCTGCATCCACTTGCCAAAAATAGCAAACAACCACTTCATCATTAATTCCACTTTCTTGAAGACTTGTCAAGCGTTAGTCCACTTGCAGGATTTTGTCAGGATATTTTTTTGTCATATTTAGAACATCTTTCCAATTTAATACGTTTGAGAATGATCAGTGGTGCACTTCTCAGCACTGTTGCCTTCCAGCAAAACGGTCCTACCCCCACCTCTAATAGGACATGAATCATTTATTATTTAACTAAAACACAAACAAATTTATTAGAGCAAAAATAACTTGTGGCATAAGTGTGCACACCCTCAAGCTAATATTTTGTTCAACCACCTTCTGATTCCAAAACAGCATTCTGTCTTTTTTGGTAATATTTGCCCTCTCTACCTTGGGAACAGTCTCCAAATAAATTCTTAAGACATATATTGCCCCCATCCTTCTTTAGATGGCCCCAATTCCATCTGAAGAAAACAACCCCAGACCATGATTCTACTACCCCCATGTTTCACCCTGCTGGATGTATTTTTTTGTTCCAAACATTCCTTTTTGAATGATATCTGAAATATTGAAATTGGTAGTAGCCATCAGAAGATGAGGTGTAGATGGTATGTAGAGGGTCAACAACAATACTTAGGTAGGCTGTGGGGTTTAATTGATGGTCAGTTGTTATTAAGGATCCCAAAGTGTGTCAAGAAAATATGCCCTCATCACTACTACACTACCACCACCAACTTGAACTATAAATAGAAAGCAGTATGAATCCATGGTTTCATGTTGGTTATGCCAAATTCTGATTCTAAAATCTGAATGTTGCAGCTGAAACGGAGACTCATCAGACCTGGCAACAGTTTTATCATTGGTTGCTGTGCAAATGTGGTGAGTCTGTGCAAATTGTTGCCTTAGTTCCCTGGTCTTGGCTGACAGGAGTGGACCCCATGTGGTCTTCTGCTGTTGCAGCATACAACCAAGGTATTCAGCATACCTTGGTTGTATTCAGTGTCTTTTTGAGCTACTTCTGCCTTTCTATGATCCCAAACTAGTCTGCCCATTGTCCTCTGACATTAACATTGTTTGTAAACCCAGAGATGCTTGTGCATAAAACCAGTAGATCATTAGCCTCTGGAAAACTCAACCAAAAACCATTCTATGTTCAAAGTCATTGAAATTGCCCCTCCTCTCCATTTCAAATTTGAACTCAATTGAACATTGATCGAATTAGGTGGCCACTGAGTGTATCGTGCAGCCTTGAATCTTCTCTCCAGCTTGTTTTACAACCATTTACACTTATAAATATGTGACCACATTCCTAATGTGCTGGCCTGGTTGGAATGCATTAATGACAAATGACAATGATCTAAACCACACACAGGATGGAGGTCTGGGTCAGTGACTTGTGTCATGGCCAGTATTAGTGTGATTGTCTTATTGATAAGCCTGGAACTTCCAGCTAGTCATCAGAACTGAAGAAGCCTATTGGATGAGACAAAATAGAAGAAAAAAAGTGAGGTTGACGCTCAATTAGAGGAAAATTTACTTTCTAAAGACTAATTGTCTGTTTATAGCTGAACAAATACTAACAATCTTGTTCTAGCAGTCTGTTTCTTGGTAGTCTAATCAGATAAAGGATGACTGCCTTGCTTGGAAATATTTCTGTACTGTTAATTCCAAAGTTAAATAGCCTGAATTGAATTCTGTTGAGAATTGTTGGCCAGGATGACAGCTTTCTCATTTCTAATTTTGTATCTCCGTCCATCTGTCCTATAAAACACAGAAATCTCCATGTCTGGACAGGATCGTCAGATGTTCGTAGGTTTTATCCCTGTACTAATTACCCTTATCAACTAGTCTCAGAAAAAAACGAGCAAAGTTTGTGAAATCAGCAGGCATTGCCGAGGCCTCGTATTTGTTCCACACATTTCTTTTTGCATTCTTATTAAGTTACGTCAAATTGTTCTTCATTACATAAACATACAGTCAGTCAGTCATTTTCTACCACTTATTCCATAGTGGGTCGCGGGGAAGCTGGTGCCTATCTCCAGCAGTCTATGGGCGAGAGGCGGGGTACACCCTGGACAGGTTGCCAATCCATCACAGGGCAACACACAAACAACCATGCACACACTCATTCATACACCTAAGGGTAATTTAGAGAGACCAATTAACCCTAATAGTCATGTCTTTGGACTGTGAGAGGAAGCCGGAGTACCTGGTGAGAACCCACACATGCACGGGGAGAACAGGCAAACTCCATGCAGAAAGACCCCCGGCCAGGAATCGAACCCAGGACCTTCTTGCTGCAAGGCAACAGTGCTACCACCTGCACCACCGTGCAGCCCACATAAATGTACAGTGATCTGCAAAGGTTTTTCCAAATTTTGTGACCTAAACAAACTTTTCTGTATTTCACTGGGCTTATTTTTAATAGACCAACACAAAGTAGTGCACAACTGTGGAGCAGAAGAAAAATTACTACCTTCACCTCAGTCTCAAATCTTTTGCTGCCACTAAAAGGCTTTTGAACAATTCGCCATGTAATTAACCTCATCCGTCTGCAATCCGCTCTGACCAGCTTCCATGTCCCTGCTGACAAAACGCATTTCCACATCATAATGCTGTCATGTGTTACCAAGGGAATGGTATAGGGGTGATGTGCAGGGTTTTTGACTGCAACACATACAGTAGGGTTTAGCATGTAGTTACATTTTGATCACATCTGACCAGACCAGCTGCCTCCAAATGTGTGCTGTGTTCCCTACATGGTCTGCTGCAAACTGCAAGCAGGACTTCTTAAAGACTCATTTAAACACTTAATTTCCTCTTGCCACTTTTTCACACATGCACACATAAAACCTTTATGTGAATGGTCATGTCTTGATAAATTTGGAGTCATGGAACTCTTTCCCTTTTTGGATGAGGGATTAAACATATTGAATTAAACACAGCAGGAATCTGTTTACTAATTCTGCAGAAGAAAATCCCCCCTGTAGCATAATGAGGCCACCACCATGTTTTAGCATCTGGAGGGTGTGCTCAGGGTGATGTGGCGTGTTTTCTCCGCAACTAATTGCTGTCAACAAATTATCCTACAAGAACTGTGGATCTGTACAGCTCCTCCAGAATTACCATGGGGCCTATTGGCTGCTTCTCTGATAAATGCTCTCTTCGACCAGCCTGGCGGTTAAGGTCAAAGAGGGTAGCTTCAGTCCTTAGGCAGGAAATGCACCAAAGAGGCCTATGCTAACTCTGGTGGAGCTACAGAAATCCAGAGTTCAGGTGAAAGAATCAGTTGACAGGAAAACTATTAGTCATGGTAAAAAAAATGATGATAATGCTATCACCACCCTGAAATGTATTTATACTGATATTAAATTACGCAGAGGTAAACTCTACAAATTTTATCTGAAGACTTACGTGTGTGACTTCTGAAGGCAATTGTTTGCACTGAATTGTATTTCAAGATATTAAAATAAAAGAGGTTCAATACAAATGTATGTCACACTTTTAAATATTTATTTGTAGAACATTTTGAAAATGATGCTGTTAAAGGTGAGGTTTTGGGGTGGACCAAAGCGCAGGCAAGAGCTTGGCAGCAGCATTTTAAGTAGTCTTCAGCTTTATTCAAAGTAACAAAAACACTGCAGGTAAAAACCAGAATCAGAAATCCAAAGACTCACATGGCATGGATGAGGGTAAGAGACGAGGAACCAGCAAAGGACAATGAAACAAAACCAACTAATATACAGAACGAGAACAAAGGCAGGTAATCAAGGAACTAAGAACAGGTGTAACGAGGAGGCAGGAAGACAGAGGGAACAGGTGAAAACAATACATAGATTAAGACATGACGAAGGGGCTAATAAACAATACCGAAATGAAACTATAAACAAATAACCAACTGAAGCATGAGTGTAACGAATAACATGAACCGAGAAACTATAGGGAACATAACACCATAACCTAAAAACGAACAAGGAACCCATACAGCAAACCTAACACCACACACACAGAACTGACAGGAAGGGAAGCAGAGAACATGAGGACTAAGATGTAAACAAACAAAAATAAACAATAAGTAAGCACAACCTAATCAGAAGGGCTAGAGAAATAAAACAGAGCAAGAATAATAATAATAATAATAATAATAATAATAATAATA